CCTCCTTACCAACTAGGGCCTGGTTCCCTCTCTGTGTGTGAGTTATCAGTAATCCTGTGTTAGGCCTCAGTACATAACAGAGCAGAAGGCTGGGGGACTCCTTCCTCAGACCCTGGATGAAAAACAGAAGAACTTTGAGCTCCTCCTAGATTCCCATCCATCTGGCAGGCCTCAGAGGCTGCTTCACTGGGACTTGGGTTCTGAGCCCTTGCTCAGAAACACTGCACTTCAGACCAGTGACTCAGACCTCAAACCTAGGGTAAGTGGCTGGGCAAAGCCTTCCTCCAAGAATGTTGGCCATGCCCACTGACGCACATGTACCTCCATGGTACACAAATGAAATCTATTTTTCTTCTTTCCCTTATTGCATCACAGAAAGACAGTTTTTAAGTTGGGGAGGATAAGAGAAATCAAGGAAAGAAAGCTTAAAAGTGAGAAGAGGCCTCGGAAATCTCTTCTTGCTGCCCCGCCCCACGACCACACCCTCAGTAGAGATTCAGTAAATATTACTACTAAATATGAGAGGGACTGTGGAGATTGTCTGGTCCAATAGTGAGTATGCATGTGCGTGTGTGTGTGTGTGTGTGTGTGTGTGTGTGTGTGTGTGTGTGTGTTTTACATTTTTTGTTTGTTGAGGTGTAATTTACATACAGTAAAATCATCCTTTTTAGTTACTTAGGTAATTTATGTTATGAATTTTGACCAACTTATACAGCGATGTAACCACCACCAAAACTCAGGATACAGAGTAACTCTATCACCCCAAAAAGTCCCTACATGCCCCTTTATGGCTAATCCCCTTTCCCCACCCACCTTTCCTGGAAGGTATTGATCTGTTTTCTGACCCTGTATTTCTGCCTTTCCCAGAAAGCCTCATAAAAGGAATCCCATAGCAGGTGGCCTTTGAGTCTGCTTCTCCCGGCACCATGTACAGTGTTGTGTGCATCAGTCATACATTCCTCAATGTTTTGTTTTTATGCATAAAGAAACTGAGGCACAGAAGAGGAATGCAGAAAGGGGGCTAGGGAGTGGGGCCTGGAGTGCAGGAGCCCACTCCCACCCCTCCCTCAGGCCCATTGACACAGCTTCTTCAGGAAAAAAGTCATCTTTTTAACCCTTCAAATCCATGAACCCCTGTTTGAGCAAGCACAGGCTCACAGAATTGCACACTGAAGAGAAGGCGTGATTCCTCATCTCCTAGAAACTGTGTGCTTGGAAACAAAGGAAAGCAATGTCAGAGTGAGTGAGGCACTGTTTGTTCAGTTAGCAAGGAGTGTTTTGCAGAACCCTCCCAGGAGCTCCAGGGTTCTCCACGCCCTCTCCAAGCAGATGAACACGGAATAACAAAATGATAGAAGCCACCTAGAAGCAAACTGCTGAGACAGACCCCAGGGACACAGGGATCTAGGGTAGCATGGTGCAACCTTGAAACCCAGGCCTGGTGGAGGAGACAACTTGGGGTTTCTCTAAGCTAGAGACCTCAAAATCAGAAGTTCCAAATAACTGGAGCATTTGAAGCATCATTATGAACTCATGAATTTAAATATATTTGGTATATTCCAATCCATCCCATTTATTATCCTTATTGACGTCCAAAGCGTCCCCTTTTTGGCCAATGGGAGCCTCTTCAAGGTGGCTCTTGAGTCTTTTAGACATGACCTTGCTATTCTTCAACAGCTTTGTCCCTATCTGGTGTGATAAAATAATCCAGAATCATTTTATACATTTCCTGTCTCTTACCTAAATCCCAAATGAGTGAAAAATCTAATGAATGCTTTGCTATAAAATCAGGGGGTCTTTTGATAGACATTGTCTGTGGAAACTGAGTCTCCCAGGCCTCCAGACTATCAGAATTGAAAATTCCTTTAACAATCACTTAACACAGAGCCTTCATTCTACAGAATAGGAAACAGAGGCCCGGATATATCAAATGACTTAAATGTGGTCACACAGGGGTATGGCAGGGCAAAGGTTAAAGACTGAATCTCCTGAGTCCTGACTCCTTGTGCTTCCCACCCTCCACCTTGCCTTACGCATCCTTGACCTCCTGTAGTCAGACCCTTCCAAATGTCCCAACGATTCCACTCTTAGGTATGTACCCAGGAGAAATGAAAACATGGCCATACAAAAATTTGGACACTAATGTTCATAGCAGCATAATTCATAATAAGCAAAACATGGAAATAATCCACTTGGTTTGTCAACTCATGAATACATGAATACATAAATAAAATATGAGATAGCCATACAGTAGCATATTATTTGGCTGTAAAGAGGAATGAAGTATTGATACATAGTACAATGTGGATGAGCCTTGAAAACATGGTAGGTGAAAGAAGCCAGTCACAGAAGACTATATATTATATGATTCCACTGAACTGGAATGTCCAGAAAAGGGGGATCCTACGGATAGGAAGTAGATCAGTGATTGCCTGGGGCTGGGGGTCGGAGGCAGTCACTGTGAATGGCATGGGGTTTCTGTTAGGACTGATGAAAATGTTCTAAAATTGATCGTGGTGATTTTTGTACAACTCTGTGAATTCACTAAAAACCATTGACTTGTGTACTTTAAGTGAGTGAATTGTTTGGTATATGAGTCATATTCCAGTAAAGCTATAGAGAGAAAGAAGGAAGGAAGAAGAGAGGGAGAGGAAGGAGGAGGAGGAGAGAAAGAAAAGGAGGAGGGAGGGAGGGAGCGAGGGAGGGAGGGACTAGGGAAAAATCTGAGCCTGCTTTTCTAAGCCAGGAAGAGAAAAGGGCAGCCCCCTGGAGGCAGTGAGTGAAGGCAGCCACAGAGGACTTTGAAATCCTGCTTCGCATCACAGGCAGGGTAAGCGGGCACCAGGTCATCCCAGAGCCAGCAGTCCATTTTAGCCCAATCTGCCTGCTCTCAGAATTCAAGCCCTTGAGCCTCCCTTGTAAGGAATTAATTAAATTAGGTGGATTAGTGATCTTCAGGGTAAGGGATCCACTCACCACTCTCTCCTGCATGAGCCCTGTTTCCCAGATCTTCAAGCCCCAAGAACATTTGGGCTATGAGAGAAAATGCCCTGGGTGGAACCAGAAGACTCCGATTCTAGCCCTGGATCTGCCACCATTAGCAGTATGGCCTTAGGCAGCTCATGGTAGCCCAGCCCATATGGGGCAAATGTTTAAAGTAAAGAGTGCCAAGACCTACCTCCAGAGGTTCCAAATCAGGAGGTTTGAGAAAGACTCCAGGAATTTCCATTTTTAAGAAGTAATTCTACCTACACAGCAAAGGAAACCATCAACAAAATGAAAAGACAACCTATAGAATGGCAGTAGATATTTGCAAATCGTATATCTGATAAAGGGTTAATACCCAAAATATATAAAGAACTCATACAATTCAATAACAAAATAATAATAATCCAACAAAAAATGCACAAGGAAACTAAATGCAATTCTTTTTCCAAAACGTACGATTCCTATCCAACTCATTTCCAACCAAAGAAGCTCACCTCCATTCCTCCAGCATAAAAGTCTGTGTGCTTCAGTCTGGCTGCACCCAGAATTCTCCTAAACCAACCCCAACCCCTGCCACTGGCTCTCTGCTTGCCACCTTTACAAAGCAACCAATCCTGGGCTTCCCCTCCTAGGACGGTCCCTCACTTAGGGGTTAAGGACCCTCCGTGTACATGTGCACGTGCACACACACACACACACACATGTGCACACACATACATATCCATCCACATGACGATGAGTGAATCTACTGAGCAGTTAAATGCATCTATTCATGCAAGACCTTGCCAGAGTGAACTCACAGAGCCAGTAGATGAATGCATCAACTCAGAAACAAAGGAAAACACTGGGATGAAACCAAAAGATAAATTACAAATTGGATCAGTGGCTCTTCCTCTCACTGTGCTGTGAAGGCCTGTTATTAACTGCCTGGACTTGCCCAGTGGCTGGCAACACCCACACACACAAGCATGCATACCACATCCATAAGGGCCTTCTCTGGCCAGCAGCAAGCAAGGGTGACCTTGACACTTCTCACTCCTAAGCCTTTAGCGCTGATTCGTGACTGCACCCAGGAGTCTGGGCTTTGGGCAGGAAAAAAGATCTTTCTCTTTGGCTGTCCCACATGGTACCAGCTGGTGAGCCCACAGAATTCCTGCCAGCTCACTTACTCAGTGTTCTGTGCCATTCCCCAGTCCCTGCTACCCCTCCGCCTGCTCTGCTACCCAGCATCTTGTTGTGGCAGTATAGGAATGACCAGCCAGCAACTGGCCCCACAGAGGAAGGAGGAACTGGCAGAAGGCAGGAGGGAATCTTCCCCAAAGAAGATGGGTGGGAATGAGGCAGGATCTGTGGCTGATCTCATAAATAACCCAGGAGGCAGTTCTTCCAGAAGGTGTGTCCTGGGGAATCTAAGTCTATACATATTTATTCGGATTGGCCATGAGACAGGGGTTGTGCTTGCTGTTCAGCTTATGGAGTTGGGTAAAAGTGGTCCTTGTCCTCGAGGACCATACCTTCTAGTAGAAGATGCAGACATATAACCAACCAATTGGGACACAAGGCAGAGGGGCACAGGAACAAATCAAATGCACAGAGCGAGGGGCAGCAAATTTTACCTAGGAGGAAATGAGGAAAGAAATGACATGAAAATCACGGACCTGCGGGAAGTGGGGCATGGACCCCATGACTGGAGCGTGCAGAGCATGGAGGCCTGGAATAGGTGTGAAGGACAAAGAAAGGTCAGAGCTAGAGACCAGAGAGAGATGTCATAATGGCTCAAACCAGGGAAGAGCCTGGCAGTGAGGATGGAGATTGAAGACAGACTCCTGAGATGCTGTGGCAGAAAATAAAGCCCTTGGTGTCTCGGTGAGTACGGGCATTGGAAAGGGAGAGGCAGTGTTGAATATTTCAGAGGATTCAGATCAAGCTAGAGTAATGGTGTGGGGTCCACAGACCTAACACATGATCCACAAGGGCATGCGGACAGAGCAGGTAAGCTAGGAGCAGTGCTCCTGGGAGTGACGGCGGTGAACGAGGTGGAATAACGGCAGTGGTGTTCAGAAAGGGCGTGTCCCAGTTTATTATTTCAGAGATGGAGCAATTTTGAGGCATCCAGGGTACGGCTGAACTGGAGAGGAGCAGGCAGGTCAGAGAGGAGGAGGTAAGCCCATCACAGTGGGGACCAAGGTCACTTGGAATGACAGCAGGAGGTGGAGTCCAGGAAGAGCCTAGCAGTTGGGACTAGAGTCCTTGTCCTAGGGGAATACGAAAACACGGAGGTCCCTACACGAGAGCCCTGAGGATGAGAAGAGGATGGAGTGACAAACTGATACTGCTTCAGGAGGAAAAAGCCTCTTGGACAGGGGTCACAGGTCAGTGGCCTGAAGGCAGCAGTGAGGGGGAAGGGCACGGCGTGCCTGCCTCCAGCGTCACGCAGCTTGCCCTCAGAAGTACAGCAGGGACCAGCCTTTCTCCACCACCTCCAACACTTCTGGAAATAAAAGCCAGTCCCATTTGGAAGCCAAGGCGATGTGGGATGCTCCGCATGGAGTGGCCCCCAGGCTGGGTGACTTCTGCTCTCAGGCCCCGTTCCCATCGCCCTGCTCCTCTCTGGCAACACATCCTGGGACAGCTCGAGGCTCCCCAGCCAGGTCCCCAAGAGCCAACTGCTGGGACTGCCTTGCAGGCAGATACTCCGGTGCAGACATCCCTTTGATTGTTCAGTCATTAGACCCTGCAACAGAATTCAGAGTGAGGTGCCTCCCATCACATTTCAGCCTCTGTGAACATGGTTGAGGAAAGATTCTCCTTCATTTGCAATTCTCCTGTCAGCGTTTGCTTTCCTTTCCACACAAACAACACAAATTTTATTCTCTTGGGTTTTCTATTTAGGGCATTTCCCCTAGGTCCTATAAAATCAGTTTAGCTATGTCTCTGCTTGGCATGTAAAGATGGGTACCTATACCCATGGGCTCAACACATATGGCTTCACAAAAACCAAGCGGGACTGTGCTATTCTCCTCCCCAAAAAGTGCACACACAGTCTTCACTGCATCACATCATCCTCTAATCTGTAATAGAAATAAAATAAAGATGATAAAAATTTATAGCAAAAGGAACCAGGTCTCCGACACCATAATGTCATTCCTTTAATGCATTATTAAAGCAGCAGACAGCTGAGGACACATCTGTAATTTCATGAAATACTTTCTGCACCTTGAAGCATAAGCCCTTTTGTTTGCCTGAGCCCTTTGGGACAGCACTGTTTGCAGGAATGTCATCAGAATGAGTATCTGTAACAATACGGTTCTGCGACACAGTGCTGCCCTTAGAGCCAGGCTGTGACCCCATGTGGACAGACTGGAAGGGCGAGAATCTGACCTCCTCTTGCTCACTGTCAATCCAGGCTTCTCAGCATGAAGGATCCAACCGCCTTTTTCCAGTGTGCCTAACCTGCTGTCCACTATTCCTTGGGAAGAATTAATGATTTTCAGAGGAGACCTGAAATTGAGCAAATTTCATTAGTAATATTAATTTATACCAAACTCTAAATCTAGGCCCTGGTTTGAGAGCCTAAGGCTCTGAGATACCTTATGCCTTTCAGGTGAAAGAAATGCATGGGCTATGGGACAGCACTGACCTCTGTTCAGAGAACTCCCTTTTATTTCTGGAACCACTGGTGTCTTCTGAAGAGTGAGGCTGCTGGGAGAGGGTCCCCAGGCTCATGAGGCTGAACCCCCATTTTGTTCATTGAATTCACCTTCATGAATATCTGCACTGAAGTTCCCCACAGGGGGATGTAACAGGCAAGGTTTATTTGATATGAACAGTGGAGCCCTAAACTGTCTTAAACTCAGAAGTGATACCATTACTAGCAATAATTTTCTCTTGCCCACAATTCTGTGTTCATGTCCATATGAACTCTGTATCTATATGAATATTTTCTGAGCAAGTACATCAAAAGTTTAAAATGTCATCTGCTAAGTGTAGTCTATGATGCCTAAATTCTGGACATCTAAGCAAAATCTCTAAAGCAGAAGAGAGTTCTCTGCATTTAAATGTGGCCGGGATTCTGCATTCCAACAGCATTCACCAGGTCTCAGTGCTTACCTCTTTGCTTTGTCTCTCCCACCTTTCCTGCCTTAATAGCTGACACCTTTTTACCCCACTCTGCAAAGCACCTGCATTTTACTGCTGCTCTGTTTCTTACATGACAGGGCAATGGCTGACATGTCACCGGGAAACATCAAGAGGAGTGTAATTTGAAGAAAGCTGGGTTAGGTTGCCTATATATGTAATTTATGTAATAAAAATACATCCACGGAGAAGTGTTTTCATGCCACACACCGGTCTGAACAATGACACAAGAGCTCCAGGTACATGTGCCATCTGAGTGCCACCTACCTCTGAAGGCTAAAAGGTGACTTATACTTCCTCGTGTCCTTGGAAGGAGCCCAGTGCAGCCACCATTGGTGAAAGCCATTTCCTCATGTCACTGAGCTGCTATTTCCAGATGTGAGGGACACAGGAATAGCTCAGAGTAGTGGCACTCTAACCCAGGCCATCAGCCCCAGTAACAGACAGACATTGCTTTCCAAACCCCACGTCTAGTTTTAAGTAGAGGAATAAGTTGGAGTGTGTCACTTTCAAGCGAAGCGCAGAGGCTGTATGAGTGGCCTGGGAATTCACACAAGATAAAAGCCTCTCTTCTGCCTACAGCACCTAGAATTCGTGACCCCTGGACTGCTTCGGTCATTACCACGAAGGGCTCATGTTTGCGACAGCTCATACCTGGATTCCACCTCAGGGCTTGTCGGCTTTTCTCTTCAACCCAGACACAAATAACTGATCTACCTGTTCTGACCATTAGAACTTAATTTCCCTCATTTGAGAGAGCCTCATTTTACTAATTTGGAAAAGGAAATTCTCTGCACTTTCTTTGGCTTCAAAAGACCGTCACTACCTTCTGGGACATGCCCACATCCTCCTCCTCCCATGACTTGCCTCCATGGATGATATTCCACAGACCCCCACCTCCTAAGGCCTTGGAGTCAACCCCTAGTGCTCCCCTTCCTTCATCCTCCAGCCTTGCCAGACACTGAATCCAGTCCATTCTGCTTCATGCCATTCTTACTGTAGCCTCTGCATTAGCTGAGGTCCAGAGCTTAACCTCGACTGCGTGCTATTGCCAGACAAAGCCTCCAGCACTATCAAGATATATCAACATCCTGTTCATAACATCTCAATGGCTCCCTATTGCTATCAGAATTCACTCAGTTCAATTCCACAAATGTGTGTTACGCCTTCATGATGTGCCAGGCTAGTGTTGAGGATACAAAAGCGAATGAGACAGAGTCTGCACCCTTAAAGTGTTTGCAGGCATCAGTCAGTGGGACAGACACATGAATATGGCTCCATGTGAAAAGTGCTAAAGTGAAAGGAATATAAACTATTTAAAAATTCTTGGGGCCAGAGGTTGGAAGAAACTACAGAAGACTGGTGACATTTGGGTAGAGGTTTACAGAGTAAGTGGGTGTTTGTCGAGTGGACACTGAGGAAAGGGACATGGAACAGGGATCTTCCAGGGAAAGGAGATGACTTGGGCAAAGGCCTGGAATTATGGAAGCCCCTGAGTGGTTCCAGGCCCCTGAATGGGTAATCATTGTCCCTGGTCATCACTGTCACATGCCACAGGTACCGTCTTTAGCAGAAGATCATCAAAATTAGTCAGAATGCAGTGTTCTGTCCTGGTTGCTACTGTAGGTGAGAAGCCAATTATTTGTATAACAAACCCAGTTCAAAATGTACCACCACCCTTCCTGCAGACCTACTAAGGGTTTATGGAAGGGCAGGAAGCAGGGGAAATGTCCAGCCCTGATACCAGCCACTAAAGGAAAGCCTCTGGGCCAGTCTTCAGTGGCATCTCTCTTGGGATGAGGCTTTCCCATGCCCTAGGATAGCAGTATCCAGGGACACTAACCAGCCCCACCAATATCCTGGAGACTCATCCCAAAGAACTCCTTAGAAAGAGCATTGTCCCCAACCACCAAGTACTTAAATCTCAGTGCATAAATGAGACCACTGCAGAGCGAGTGGGCTTGGCAGCATATAGCGAAGTGTCTACCTGCAGGTCACAGTAATAAGGGAGCTCAGACAGTAAAAGTCAGAGTAGTGTGGACTGGAGTCATTGGGGACGGGCTGCAGGAGTAGATCGATCGGTGGGGCATGAGCTGAACCATGGAGGCTGGGTGGGGTTTGGACAATAAGAAAGAGGGACAAAGAACAACCTGGGGGAATACTGTCAGCCAATGCATGAGTCAGGACATCTAGCCACTTAGAATTGGGAGATAACTGGATGCTCATCCATCCTAATTCTTAGCTGCCACAAGAACCCTCCTACAATGACCCCAATCCCCCAGGCTCTTAACTGGGTGCTGTTGGGCAAGATAAAATAATTGGATGGAGAGACTGCACGCAAACACAAATCCTCTCTCTGCTGCCTCTCCTGACTCTCCTGATAGGGACACCTTTCTCCAAGAAGCCAGTATCCTAAATCTTAACATGTCTTTCCTTGAGGCTCAAGGAACAACCCTTCCCCTGACCCTGTATCTCAGCAAAAATGTCATCCCGACCCAGGGTGAGAGCTTTGCCCTGCAGGAGAGAAGCAATCATCCTCTATCCCCGGCATCCATATTCATGGGAATTGTTCATGCTCTGACCTGTAGCCCGTGTGGAATGTCAGCCTGGGAACCAGGATGATGGTCCCCAGAAGTGCACTTCAGGAATTAGCCCACAGCCATCTGCCTCTCCTCCAAGTAACTCGGGCCCTGGGAGGAATAAACAGCTGTTGTCATTGCAGTCCTAGAGAAGCATGAAATAGAGCAAGGAGGAAGGTAGGAGGCACCTTTCAGAGCTAAGGCTGCTCCTGAGAGTGTTTGAAGGTTATTAGTGTGGCTATAATCAGGCCATTAGCCAAATGCAGGTGGAGAATAAAGTGGTTTCGAAATTGCTTTCCAGAGAAAGCAGAGCCTGTGTTGGTATAATCTATGTATATGATCTCTTTCAAGTAGCTCTTCAGCTTCCTAAATAACAAAAGAGCTAGGACTCAAGTCCCCAGCTAACCACACACAGTCAGAACTATCCACGTCCCTGCCCTCAAAGGGCATCAGTGGCTGCCAACCACAGCCCTGCCCTCTGCCTGTGCCACCGGCCTGCATGAGCAAAGGCAGGCCATGAAGCCGTTCTCATACTCCCAGTCAACGTTCAGAGACCCAGTCGGCTCAAAAATACTTCTTCGTAGTTCACAGGCAATGGCATTGGTCTGCAGCCCTGTGTGGGCAGCATCCAGTGCCCAGTGCCCAGTGTGGCCATCCCATCCCCTTCAGGCTTCCCAGAGGGACTCAACAGCAGTCTCATTTCTAGGGGTAATTGAATGAGAGATGAGAGAGGCTCTTGATGAGAGAGGGGTCCTCGGAGTGCCCTGTAGATGAAGCCTCCACCCCAGCCCCTTCCGAGCCACTTGGCAGATGCAGGCCTCCTTCTCATGAGGCTGCAGAAGGACAGAGAGGGGTCCCACCTGCTCCTCCTTGAAGTTCCTTGTCTTCGTTCATGACCCCCCCATCCATCCACCTCCCCAAGCCTAAGTTCTAGTCTTGCTCTTTCTCTCATCCCCTTTCATAACCAATCAGTTACAAATTCTGTATTTCTAGTTCTTCAGCCCAACCACTCTCTACTCCACTTCCACTGCTTTGTTTCTGGCTCCCACTGCAGCAGTCTAACTGGGCCCTCCAAGTGCTATTCTGTTCCTCTCCAACCCATTCATGCTGCAGCCAGAATTATTTCCCAGAAATCTCAGATCTGATCCTCTAATGTCTCAGATCAGCCCTTCCACAGCTCTCTCGGGATGGTGTCCAAATGCCTGCCTACCTGACCCCTTCCTGCGGCTGTGAGCCTGTGCTGCGGCCACACTGGAGCGGTGCACTGTGTCCCAGTGGGTCTGCTTTCTCCCACTTGCAGCCTCTGCACGTGCTGCTGCCTCTGCCTCCTTTCCCATCTCCTCCCTGCTCTACTAAACCCTATCCTGCTGCAGAGCTCGGCTTAGGTTGTCTCCTCTGCAGGAGCCTTCTCTGATGATGCTTTCCCCCAGGATTGCAATGAGGGCTTATTGCTGTGGGTTGCCTGTATGTCTGTCTCCCTGTCCTGTGGGAGGGAGAGTCTTTCAAGGCAAGAACGCTGTGTAGTCAAATTTTATCTTCCATGCCTATTTACAACCCATAAAATTTAAAAAACCTTTCCCAAGTATTAAATGGTTGAATTCATGAAAGAACAAACAAAATAATGGAGGAGGTTCCACAGCACCCAAGTGACCCAATGAGTCAATGGCTTGGGTTGAGTGTAATCGGGGATTAAAATGGCCGAATCACACATGCAAATCCCACATGCGGACCTAAGAAACTTTCGAATGGAATATCTTCAGCTTCACCTCAGAGTTTCCTCTACACTTTTGACTGGTGTACTCACTCCTCTTAGACCCATCCAATCAAAGGCATTGACTCTTGGTTCTGTGCATCTAACTACTGACCCAAAGAACATCTGGCATTCACCCCATAGCATAGCCTGACTAGGTGCTGGATGAATGACTTGGCTATAATGCAGAAGCAAGGAGCATAATCACAGCCTCCATCCCATGGGAACTTCGATGTGCTGGATTGTGCTTTTCAACCCTGCATTGGGTAAAATAACCTTTGACAAATTCATCCACTTTCTTCAGAGTGGTTGGTGCAAGGACTCAGCCTTCTGAGTTGGTGTTTACTGGTTTCATGCACAAGTGCAGGGAGGCCAATTGAATTACAGCCTGACTCACAGAGTAGAAACTTCTCCATCTGTCTCAGCCTTCTTCTCGGGCCAGTTTGTCTGTCAGTCCTCCTTCGTGCCCCTGACCTCCCCAGGTTTCTTACACAAGTTGGCAGATGTGTTAGATGCAATGCTGGCAAAATGACATACAGATGGTCACCCATATGGTGCCAGTTTGGATCTGACTCCTGGAGAAAATTTTGGAAGCCCACACAGCTATGAAAGACACCCGCCAGCTTCCTTCACTGGGTCCAAAGCTGACTGCTCATGGGGACACAGGTGGGAAGCAGGTGTTCCACATAAACGGATCACCCTCTGCTAATCACCACCTATCAAGCTAGTGGTGCAGGAGAAAACAAAAGGAGAAAGACTCATCATCCAAGAAGTGAAATGAACTGGATGCCAAGGAGTCAAGGGATGGGTCTGTATTCCCATAGTATAAAGGTCATATTTCAGGCAGGCTTTGCTTCAGAGCATGCCAGAAACTTGGAGACAGAGGGTGTGGGGACTTCAGATTTAATTCCAGTTGATGTAATACCTGGAGATGTTCAATCTAATAAATTCAGTCTAATACTGGAGATGTTCAATCTAATAAATTCAGTCTAATAAGAATCCACAGCAGCCAAAGAACAGATTCATTCAGCCTATCATTCAATATTTATTGAACACCTACTATGTACCAGGCATTTATTGGACACCTACCATGCACCAGGCCTTGTTCTGGGTTCTGGAGACAGAATGGTGAACAATTTCCATAAGGACCGTCCTTTTTAGAGACTTATATTTCAGCTGTGGAAAGACAGGAAGACAAATAAGGAAATGTCAGATAGTAATAAATGCTATGTAAAAAGGTAAAATAGTGTGATCTGATCAAAAAGAACTGGGTAGCTACTTGAGATGGGTGACTAAGGGAGTCCTGTCTGAAAGCTGGCTTTTGAAGCTATAATCTGAATGACAAGGAGGAACCAGGTAACCACACAGTCATCAAGAGACTGGCTAGTGCAAAGGCCCACAGGGCGACAGACTGATGCTCAAAGGCGGTGGAATGGCAGTATCCTGACAATGGACAATCCGGCAGAGAAGGTGTTCCCCTGGGAGTTCTCAGAGCTACTTGGGGAAGACTTGTTTGTGAGTTGATGTACAGGGCTCTCCAGGGACTCTCATAAATGTTGCTGAGGGGGCTTGCATCTGTGAGTACATGTAGAACATGCCCTAGGGATTCCCAGAAAAACCTGGAAGGAACTATCATTCATGCTCACAGGAGACATTCCTGGGGACTCCCACTAGTTTGTTGTGAGTGTATGTGATGCAGTCCTGAGCTCAAAATATTCAGCAGGGGTGGGGGACCCAGTCTGCATAATCAGTTTGAGGCAAGATCCATGTGACTTTCTTTTTACCCACAGGCCTGGGGGCCATTTTATATTCATTTTGGTTACTGAGAACTGCATTCCTTCCCCTCTCCTGAAGGACAAACTCATTATTTAAGTCTGGCAATTCTTTTGTTGAGGTTACTATCAAACTTGATCACCCTGGAGCCATTTTGACCTGTCTAGAGACCTTGCATATCACTATTGTGCTCCATTAGGCAACAAAGTGACAATTTAACTCTCAGAAGGCAAGCTTTTGCCCCTTCTTTTTTGGGAACCCCTGAGTGTTGCTCCCTTGCTATTTACAGAAAGAAGTGGGAGCTTTCATGAACAGGTTGGCCTACATGAGGGCAAGGAGTATGTGCCGTCCCTGGGGTCCAGGGTGCCCCACCAAGCCAGTGCCCCAGTTTCTGCCAGCACGTTTCTCTTCTCCCCTGACTCCAACACTGAACACTTCCACCTACTGCAACTTCTTTGCAGAGTTGAGATATGAGTTTAGAAACCCATTTGAGAACAAAAGATATAAACAATTCACAGAGGATGAAAAATAAATGACTCCTAAACACTTGGAAAGATGTCCAGCCATACGAATAATTTAAGAAATGCAGCTTAAAACCAGTTACCATTTCCAGCCATTAAATTAGCAATTTTTTTTTTTCATATAGGAATATTCAGCACTGACAACAGTGGTAAAAAAAGGGGTTTTTATCTTCTACCAGTGGCACTTTAAATCAGTACAAACTTTTTGAGAAGCAATTTGGCAGTGTATATCAAAAGCCCTTTACATGTTTCATCCTTTGATCTTATTCTGCTTCTAGGAATATATCTTAAGGAACAAACCAGATTTCTATGAGAGGGAAGGCACTGGAATGTTATTAGAGCAATCACAAAATGAAAGTGGAAATATAAATGTCCTAAAACAGAACAACAAAAAAAAGACCTATTAAATAAATAATGATATTCATGTATGGCAGAATATTAACAAATTTTAAATAACATGATTTCAAATAAAGTAATTATATGAAGAATTGCTTACAAAATTAGATGGGGGAAGCATAGAATTCCAGAACACATAGGACAGAAGACCTGACTCAAGATGAAAAACAATTCTACAACTAAATATGATGATAACCCAATTAAAAAGTAGGCAAAAGATTTGGAGGCCCTTTACTAAAAGAAGATATGCAAGTGGCCAATAAGCACATGAAAAAGATGATCAACATCAATAGTTATCAAAGAAGTGCAGATTAAATCAATGAGCACTACACACACACTAGAATGTCTAAAATTAAGTATTACAAAGCTGTGGAGCAACTGGAACTCTCATTTTTTCCTGGTGGGAGCTTAAAATAGTCCAACAACTTTGGAGAACAGTTTGGCAAGTTCTCATGACATTGAACATACCCAGCATAGCCACATAACCCAGCAATCCCACTCCTAGGTATTTAACCAAGAGAAAAAGCAGTACCACATAAAATAATTGAGTCTAAGTATTCATAATCACTTCATCAAAACTGGTAACAGCCAAATGTTCACCAATAGGTGAGTAAATAAAAAATGTGACATCTAGAGATAATGGAAGAGTACTCATCAGTAAAAGGAACAAACTATTGATGTATACAATAATCTGTAAGAATGGCAAAAGCATTAAACCAAGAGAAAGAAGCTAAAGACAAAAGTGTTTATACTACATGTTCCATTTATATGAAATCCTAGAACAGGAGCTACTTGGGTCTAGGTGACAAAGGAGATGTAAGGATTACTGGGAAGGGGCACAAAGGAACTTTTTAAAGATGGAAATGTTCTATATCTTGACTGTGATGCATTTGTTAAAAATTCAATGAACTGTCCACTTAAAAGGGGTGCATTTTATTTTATCTCAATAAAGTCTTTTTTTAATGTTATACAAACTTCCAGTAAAAGATGGCACATTGACTACATGCTTCTCTCTCCAAGAGCCCAGTAAATGAAAGCAAAGAAAAAAGAGCAAGTAGGGAGCCCAATTTCAAAAGATATGGGCAAGTTGGAATCCAATGGAGGAGCGGGAACTGACCCAGAAATGTGATGGGCCCCTCTACCTAAATCACATTCACTGGTTGAACTGGCCAAAAGAAGAAGGCTGGGGACTCGGAAACACCACTGTGAATAAGGGCAGGAGTGAAGCAAAAGGGTTTCTGTTGAAGAATATTTTTAATATCTGCAGGTGGAATAGTCTGTTCTCATACCCCATCATGCTACACAAAAAGTAATCAAATGCCCCCTTAAAAACACCACCCCCAATAAACATCAGTGTGTTCTACTCTGAAACACACACACACAGAGATATAGACACAGCAATAAAAAAAACAAAAGAAAGTTATGGGAACCCTCCAAGATAGTGAATCAAAATTTTTAAAAAGGAAAAGATAAAGAAATCAAAGTTTAATCCAGAAACTCCATATCCAAATATTAGGATTCCAGGGAAAACAGAAAACATGGAGAAGAAATTATCAAAGAAATAATACAAGAAAATTTTCCAGAGTTGAAGGTCATGTGCCTACTGACCAAGAGGACCTCAAATGCCTACCACCATGTCTAAGAAACAATCTATACTTAGCATGTTATTGTGAAATTTCAAAATACTGTGGATGAAAATAAAATCCTGAAAGGTTCTAGGGAAGCTTATAAGTTATCTGCAAGAGAATCAGAATCAGGCTGGCCTCAGATATCTCAAACGTAACGCAGGTGATGATTTCAATGTTCTGAGAGTAAATTACCCTGAACCTATTATTCTACACCTCACAGAAGTAACAATTGAGCATTACGGTAAAATATTCAAGGGCTAAAAACATTTATCTTCTTCACACCAAATTACTTGATGTATGATAACCAAACAGAAACCTAGAGGAAGGAAAACCTGGAATCCATGAAAAAGAGGAACTAAGCCAGTAATAGTGTGAGAGAAGTATCAGCTGAGATGATGCAGCAGGCTCAGGGCAGTCAATCTAGATTGGAGCAGGACAGAGGCCCTGGAGGACAGTCTCTGGAAAACAATTTGCTGGATTACCTCACTGGATGGAAAAACTGGGGTGAAATAGAGAATATGATAAAGACAAAGAAAATAGACAACAAAAACCTAGGCAAAACAAAGCTTTTCAAGCAGTAAACATGCCCTTGGAGCACTGCTTGGCTCTGACATAGCCACAGCGGCATAAACACTGTTTATTGATTCCATACTTTCCAGATGAACCTATAGGAAAGATGGGAAAATGTAATTGTTGTGGAACACCATGTAAATGTTGGCAAAGTACTGTAGATAGAAGTGAATCTATGGAATATAGGGAGGAGACCTGAAAAGGGTCTCAGGGTAAGGGACTGTTGTTAATATCCTTCCTGTAGAAAGTGATCAAAATAACTGTGTAGAGTTGACAGAACAAGATTTAAAAAATACAGATTTGTTGCTTATAGTGAAAAGTAAACCAACAGAATATTAATCACTGTGGAGGAGACAGGGACAGAGAAGCCACATCATGAGAGCAGGAAGTCTAGCAGATAATGTCTAACATTGATAAGCAGGAAATAGTGGTAGACCTGTGTCAACTGGAGATACAGGCTGATATAACCCTAAGAAGAAAATACTAGAAGGGCTAAAGCAGCTGCCTCTGGGGATCAGGACTGGGGATGGGAGGAGGTAGACAACAAGACTGATTTTCATCCTAAACCCTTCAATACTTGCCATTTTCATTTAACCATGTGCACATATTATTTCACTAACATTTTTTTAAACATTTAAAAGAACTGTACATAGTACATAGTTGCCAATATCATAAAGCATAAACAAATAAATTCACAGAGATTGGCAGTTTTATGAGGCTATTTAACCTCTTCTATATACTCTTCCTTTTTTCCAAATTCCCTACAATAAACATCTTATTTTTATAAACAGAAAAAGCAAATGTTATATCAAGAATCAAAATGATGTTTAGGAACAAGTTTTAAATTACACTGAAATGAATTGAAGGAAACAAAGTTGAATATAAAGATGAATTCAATTATTTAAAACAGTATTCATGAAAGTAGATTTAAGAAAATACTAACAGTAATTATCTTGGTGGTAGAATTACAGGTGATTTTTTTCATCTTATAATATACACTTTATTCCAATATTTTTTTTTCATAATAAGCATATTAAACCAAGTTTGGCCAGAGAACTAAATTTGATCTCTACATTGGCTCCAGACCAAAATAATTATATAGTGCCTCTGTGTGTTGCTGAAACCTAGAAGCCTTCCATGAATACCTGTGGCATTAAGGGAACTAAATGTAAATGAGGTTCTCTGGTGACTGCTTCTAACTGAGCACTGGGCTTCAGACACTCACTCAGCATTCACCTAGTGCCACTGTGTCCTGTGACCTTGCCAGTGCTGGAAGTGGAGGGTGCCA